CAGTGTAGCATGTGCGTAGTATGACATACCCTAACACCTTTATTTTTTGTGCAGCGTAGGTTTTTGGAGTGGATTCTTTCTTATCTCAACTCTACTGATGAAATGAGCATTATTTCCTCTGGTCAGTTAGTAGGACTTTTTCTTTCGTATTTTTATAAGTAACTTTATGAGGTTAGTCTTTCTTGATTGCCAATTTTTTTAAATTTACCTTGTTCTTGGCTGTGTTTTCCCACAAATATTCTTTTGGGTGATGAATTATCTAACCATTCAGTATCATTCATGATTTTATTGTTATAGCATCATGTACAGTTTAATCCAGTCTACAGACATTTTTAAAATTAACTTATCAATGCAACAATACCTATTTTGAATATGTTGTGACATGACTACCATCTGTATAATGTGGTTTTGATCTCAGTCTTTTCTTCCAAAAAGAGTGTAGGAGGTTATATTTTATGGTCTTTCTTGCTTTAAGTACCCATTTTGAGAAGTATCAGGCTGTGAAGGAATGAGTAGGTACTTACTGTGTGGTCCCACCCATTCACTAATTTCTTTTTATCTTTCTACTTTTTAGTTGTAAAAGTCAGCCTTGCAGTTTATTTTACACAGGTTAGACTGCTTCTGCTTCTAACCTTTAACCTAAACTAGCTATGCATATGCGTACTTTTGTAACCTGTTGTGTTGTAAAAGCTTCATGAACCTGTTAAGGCAAAATGTTTGAGAACCTTGATGACATTTTTCATTGTCCATGGTAGTCCTCTGGAAAACAAAACACAGTCACAGGGATTATATTTGGAAAATTCATACTGTATATATACTTTCTCTGCTCTTCCAGTTTAAGGAATCATGCAGGATTCACTCTGCAAAAAGGAGTATTTTTTTATTTCACATAAGCTTTCTGGAGCTTTAGATTGTAGAACCAGTGCCTCGACAAATCAAATCCTAACTCGGTATTCTAGACAAGATCCAGAGAGATTACATACACTTTGGAAGTTGATTTGCATTTAATTTTAGCTCTCGATGGACTGTAGGCTTTGTAGGAAATTGAAAGAAGGCATTAAATACAAAAGGAGGTAGAAAAGATAACAAACTTACATGGAAGTGACACTGAGTTTAAATCAATATATTGGGGTGGCCATCTCCGAATAATATTTACAATTTCTGTTCAGCCCTACTAGAAGTAGACCTTCTAACTGTTGCCAGTCTCTCTGGGAGAATTTGTTACTGAAAACCTAGGTTAAAATGAGGTAACGGAGCAGCACACAGAAAGAAGGAACAGAAATCAGTAGCAGTTAAAGGCAAAGAGTTATGTAAGGAGGTATTTGGAAATCTGACTTGTTCAAAATTGCTACAGGTTATCTGTTTGTCTGGAACAATAGGGTCTATTCTCCTCTCAGAGAGGGCCCAAGGGAGAATTTTACTCTTATTTTCTTTGTCATTAATCACTTCTAGACAGAATAACACTATTATTTCAAACTTCTGAACCAGTTCCTGTAGTATTCAAACTGGAAGCCATTTCAAAGGCACTCTGATAAACATATATGAAGTATTTTAAATCTTTATAGATCTAAATAGACCTATCTTCCATCTGCAAGTAATTTAAAAGTAGATTGAAACAACTGAAAATGAAAATGTTTCAACAGAAGCAA